AGAATTCGTTATTAATTTTCGTAGTTTGAAAGGGACTTCAATTTCAAAATGAAAAATTTATTCGAAAAGACCATTTCTTCTTAATTGAAAGGAAAAAGAGACCAATCACGTAGGATTGACGGTTCGCGAGATAAAAATATAGAAAACATAGTAAACGTCCATTTCAAATATTTGTAAATGAAAATCGATATCGGCAAAATAACGACTTAAACCATTTATAGTTTCACAGTGACTACATCGTATTTCAATTTTATTAAGTTCCTTGATATTCAGTGCTAACGGTGATCGATTTCACGTAGAATAACGCCATTGTTCAGTGCACGTACACCCAGTGGATTTTAAAAGACTATTTTCTTGGAAAAGAATCTTCACGCGGATATTATAAATTCCAGATTCAATTTTCTAGATTGATACCATAATTTTCATCAAATAATATTAGCAATTTGACAGTTAGTAGATCTAATTAAGGTTACCTAGGATATCCACATGATACTTCTCACACTTTGATTAATCAATCTACTTTCATATAGTTGAAGTAGTTTAACTGAATTTGGCTGGTGGATCTAACCAAAGAATTAATTTGCAGAGTGTTAAGTATTAGCCTCTGTGTGGAATAGACCAAGAAGCTTTAGGTATATCTAATTAATGATCCCTTTGTGCGATCTGGTGGACCGCACGTCTCCGAGCTCGGGTCAAAGCTCAGTTTGTAGCATCTGCGTGATCCACCGCTTAACCTAAAGATGGTATCGGATTCCAAAGGGGTGGCGTGTGTGTTTTAGGGTGTTAGTCGCCAGATGTGCGGGTATAGCCATCAAGGCCAAGGTGGCGCGGAGCCCTGCGGGCTGAAGGGCTAGTTTGTTCACCTAAAACTTCAAATCCAGTCAACATAGGGTGAACTAATAATAATTAGCACATCTGCAATTTTGAAAAGCTGCTATGTATAATAAATAGAGGAAAAATTGTTTCATTAGAAATTGTCTATTAATTTGTAATATTTATATATGTGTGGTATTCAACGTTGAAACAGAATATAAAGTGATTTAATAATTTGTATGTTAAGACAAGGTTTCCTATGTGAACCAAACGAAAACAGAATTTAATTTGGCTCCTGTCTTCAATATTTCATCTAGCATTGTGCAATTTGCAGCAATTTCGTGCCATTCCGGGTTCTCGGAACGATGCCTCTTGATAAATAGTGGCTCATCGAGTTTAACACCTATCGTTGATAATTAAAGCATTTAAGTATCCATTACTCCGAATTCTACGCTCGTCGTTTCAAAATTGTGGCTCATAAACTAGCTGCAGCTGCTGCTTACTTCAAATAAATGGGGCAACTCTTCGTCCCCCCTTCCGTTCGATTTCTCGCTGCAATTTTCAGAGAATAAAGTACGTTCTGATAGATCTATCACTTGGGGAATATCTCCGATCGTTAACACAAACTTATGGACGCATTAGAGTATTATCAATTCTTAGTAAAGAAAACATTACATTAAATCTAAGTTTGTGTATCTTTAATTACTTTATATTTATTATCAAGCTTTTCTTTTCATTCTTTCAATTTTTCACCTAAACTATACTCAATGGATTACCTTATATTTTTTATATAATTTTGATTGTTTAAAAAAAAACTAGAAAGTATTCAAATAGACGTGTAGTCTAAACGAAACTCTCATAATATTTAAAAATATGTTAATGATAAATATAAAAATAATATAAATTTATTCTTACCTCGTTTTGAAATGTAATTGAAACTTCGTTCATGTTATCATACACATATTTTTATAATTTCTCAGTCTATTTTTACATTAATGTTCCGCAACAAATTTGTCGCACATTCCATTGCAATTTGCAAATTTAATCAAGTTCTAAGTGGTGCCTCCAAATATTTTAATTAATTGGTGACGTATAACTTTGCTCCAAGTATTGGTTCGGTCGTCGTTAGTTTTCCCGTCGATCGAATACCGCGGAGAAATGTAAAAAAAGTAAACATTTGATGGCGCGAGACGGACGGCGATAATACACGATTCTTCCCGAGACAGTGAGAAATTTTCAACGTCTCTGTTTCGCGCGAAGTAACTTTCCGGCAATGAAAGATGGTCCAGCTCCCAGAAACTGAAGTGATCACGAGGCGCTTGGGAAATCACGAAAACAATTCGCACTCCTGAGAGCAAAACAGATCGCCTTCGAAGCGCCGAGTGCTTTGTTCCGCGCTGTCATTGTACGATAACTCGTAACACGGATTGTCAACCTGTATGGAACACTGCAGGGGACACGGCTTTTATCATTCCCGAATAAGTGCTTTCGACGCGTCACTCGGTCAAAAATTGCTAAATTTTCCGACGAACGTGCTCGTAACCGTTCCCACATTTTCTGGAACAGTTATCACTTAAGCGAAACTTTTCTGCTGTTAATCAAACTTCCCTGATGGCTCGGAGCCCCGCGTCCTGACACTCGAACGACTATGAATTTTTCAATTAAATTTCGGAATTATGCACCGTTCAAAAGTTCGGGTCAGGTTTGGTTCTTTAAAATAAATATTCAGAGACGAGGTTGTGTGGGTAAAAAATTAACCGACGTTAAGTTCGCTGTTCCAAAGAAGTTACTCGCTCGTGCTTAAACTGTTTGATTTAAAATCGTTCTCGGAATCTACGAACGCTACAATTGAATTTGTTAATTAGCGCGTAAAAACAATTTGCTAAATTAATGCGCACGAAAGAAAACGAATAAACTTTATTTTCATTTCAGTTGAAATTAATTTACAAACAACTGCATCCAGGAGTTTTTGTTGATTTTGTTTCTTACTTATGATTTGAAATGGAAATTATAATTCCGTTTGGGTTGAAATATTCTGTTATTGGGAATTCGTGATGGAGTTTCAGTTTACGAATTTTTTTGTACAAACTGGTGTTGGATAATTGAAAGCTGTTCAAGTTGAAACAACTAGAACATTGATGATCACAAGAAACATACATTTACATGTATTACATGAAAGTTTGTATAGCAAACTTATATAATGTACTTCTATAAGATCTTCAATTTTAATACAAAAGATTACTCTCCAAATGCAAACCCATTTCCGAAAACATTTTAATAAAAATAATAAATGTTTTCATCGCTTCATTCTACGCCGAATATTACGAGGACAATTTTTCTCAAAGTCTACGAAAAATATCATAAATTTCCTGCCCTTCTCTTACAGATCATTTCCATCGATAATCGACTCATGCGCCAACATCGCCACGCGAAACATGAAAATGTACATCAAAATCCCTCTCACAAAATGAAAACGTCATGAAGGATTAAATGACATCCGAAGGAAAATCAAATGCTGTCTTTCAGATCAAACAAATCAATCATTGTCAAAGTCAACGAAAAGGGAATCGAATTCTCCAACGAAAACTGCCCAGAACCATAATCAAAAAGCGCAACACACGAGAATCAAAAACGAATCAACGAGTACTTTTAACGTTTTGAAGAATTTACAAGCGATCGATTCGCGTCGTTTCGAATCGGTGTCCGGCGTATCGGCAACCGATATCCGCGAGCAGCTGATCCAAACGTCGAATCATAGATAGGGGATTCAATATTTTAAGAGAAAGTCGAGCGTACCGTCAGCGACAGTCGACGGGCGAGCTTTTTAAATTGCGTTTCGCGTCGTGACTTCCAACGTGGAGCAAAACGAATCCAGAAATACGAGCGACTTTTTGCGTGCAGACACGTCGTTTCAGCGTCGACGAGTATTTACGAACAACGTGGAAAACAAGGGGTAAGAGGGAAAACGGTTCTGCTGCGTAATGCTGTTCCCGTTGTCTCGTACCAAGGAGACCATGAAGTAAAAACAGTATCGCAGACGACACCAGATTATAGGGCCGTTTGTTTTCCCGATGTAGTCTCGTGCAAACGAAAAAAAATAAACGCGAGTGAGAGAGAGAGAGAGAGAGACAAAGAGCGAGCGAATCAAAAGGATGCAATAAAAGAGATTACATTCGCAATTGCGTATTTCCCTTTACGCGTCGCGAAACGGAGAACACATGGTTCGGGCTCAAAGAACGGCTCGTACAAATGCTTAAAACTTTCACGTGAAATTACTCGCTGAATCTGCAATTTATTAACGGAGAGAAACCAGACAATTCTAGAGAAAAAAAGAACGGGATTTGAAGAGAAAAATTTATTATTAAGATCCAGTTGTCCGATTAGGGACTGCCAAGGAAATTCGTCGGTATTTAAGAAGGTATTTACTAATCACGAAGGAACAGAATTTATTAACAAAATCAAATCGTATAACTAGGGACTGTAAAAGAAATTCATGGATATTTAAAAAGCTAGTACTAAGCACATCAATAGAAGATGTCTAAATAGACTAAAAGAGGTTCGTTGACATTTAAGAAAATATTCACTAGCCACAGAGGAAAGAATTTATTGATAAAATGAAGTTGTCTAACTAGAGACCTTAACGAAACTAACAGACGAAAGCTTATAAATCAAGTCAAGTTATCTAACTAAGAAGTCCAACGACATTCATCAGAAAACAAGACATTGATCAAACACTCGAGAAGCTACTAGACATAATATACGAAAGCATATAAATAAAATCAAGTTATCTGACTAAGAGATTCAAAGAAATTCATCAAAATATAAGACATTGATAAAACTCAAAGGAAAGAACTTATCAATAAAATTAACTTCTCCTGAATTTCATCGACGTTCGGGATATCCTTTCTGAATCAGTTGTACCTCAGGTATCCACCAAGGAAGTGAAAAGAAGAAGGTTTTAAAGATAACAGGCGCTCGACGTGGAGAAAACGGGCGGATATCGGCGCTTACATGCCTCAAGTCGACCTAGCGGAATCCACGAGGCGTGAAAACGCAATCCAGGGCGATTGCGTTCAGACGAGGTTCTAAATTTCCAACAGAGAGTTGCTCGGTAAGTCGTCACGGTGTGCGGATTGGGGCGAATTTTCGGCTACATCGGCGGACGACCGTCGGTGGGGGCCGCCAGTATGTCGCAGTCTGGATCGGGTGAAGCGAACGACAGCCAGGAACAGAACCAAGCTGATCAGACGATGGAGAACCAACAGACCACGTGTCAGAACGGTCGAGCGGAGCCGCCTGCCGACAACTCCAAGCAGGATCTCTCAAATGGCTTCGAGAATCGGACCATCGAGTACGAGAGGTTCGTGCAAGACAAGCCACAACAGAATCAAACCGCAGGGAAGAATCAAGAGCAACAGGCTCAGACCGGTCAATATCCAGGTGGTAGAAGGCAATCGGTGGTAGGTCTCCCTGAGGATAGACACCCCCCATCGGGACAGCTTCCTCCTCAGCAATACACTCAAGATAAATCCGCCATCGAGAAGACCCAGCACGTTTCTCAAACCAGCACTCAAACCCTACTGGTCCAAACTCACCCTCAATTCGTGCCTGATTACGACCAGACCCAGTACACCCAGATACGAAATCAGTTCGAGATCAGACCTCAGATGTACCCTCAGCAGGCACAGTACGCTGAGAGAGCCGGTTACGTAACCAGAGACGTTACATATAGAGATCCAGCTCTGTACCAAGGAGGCGCGACGAATCCAGTGTTCGCTGGCCAGGGTCAATACGTGACAGTGCAACATGGGTCTCAGATACCCTCTCAATCAGCCAGTCCACAGCCGCCATATTTCTCAGGAGTAGTAGTGCCTCAGCCCCCTAGCTATCAATTTAGCTCGCAGCCTCAGTACTCCTACAGTCAGTACCCTCAGACAGTTATGAATCCAGTCCCCTACAATCCCCATGCGGGCATCTATTCAGCTCAGCAGTTCGGTCAGCAGTCCCCTAACCCGCAGAGATTCTCTCAAGACCTAGGTCAGTACCAGACCCAGCCCATCATTCAACCCATCGCTCAGAACGTTGCTCACGGCATCGCCATCGCTACCACCGATCGACCCAGTCGTGGACCCAAGCCCATGGTCCCTCCGCGAGGAAACTCGAAGATCACTCACGACACTGGTCACAGGAAGTCCGCGAGCGTCGACGTTCCAGGCATACAGAAGCCTAAGTACGACTCCGGGCAGAATCCTCCTCAGGATCAGATCCACCGCAGCGAAGGAGCGATAATCGTTCAAGGCACGCAGATAATCGCTGACGGACAAGAGAGAAGATACCTGGCGACCATCAATCAGACACCAAGGACGAGGCAGGACGGTCTTTACGTCGACACCAACGGTGATCCACCTGGACGGGAGAAGATATGCGAGGCGGTGGCCACCGAGTGCGGGCTGTACGTGGCCAGGCCCGAACACAGGAAATCTATTTCCGTGGACGTCACGTCGAGCTTCCCGCGTCGAAACGACACGATTACTTTCACGTTTCCCGGCGATACGAATCAAGAAATATTGATACCGGCCAGGAAGCCCGCGAGCATGGCGGATCCGAAACGAGTGGAAGCCAATCAAGTGTACCCGCCTGATCAAAGGCGATTGGACGCGAGCTTGAGAGTATCGCCGATGGCCTTCGATGCGAGACAGGAAAATAGGAAGAGCATAGGGGCTGATAGGAAGCCCGAGTGGGGTAACGTGAGCCCTAATCAGCGAGTGGCGATGCCGCAAGAAAACAGACGGTCTGATTACTTCGAGGAGCATAGAAGATCACCGATGACAATCGAAGGAAAAAGAATGGAGGACGTAAGGAGATCGCCGATGCCGTTCATGCCGATTCGCGAAGCTTCCGTGGACCGTGCTGGACAGAAGAGTCCCTCGTTCGTGAATCAAAACTTCGAGAAAACTAGACAGGAGCTGGCGATATGGGCGGAGCAGAGACAACGACAGGAGCACGAGAAGAATTTAATTCAGAATCAGATGATGTCTACTAGCCCGCGTTCTCGCAATCAGTCGGAGGAAAGGAGAGATTCCAGGCCCTTGCATCAAACGGAGGAACGGAAAGAGACGAGGATGACGCAGTCCGCTTTCCAACCGTTGCCTAATATCAGCCAGAGCACGATAATGGAGCAACGTCGTCATCTTCGACATGTCAGCGCCGATTTAACGAAGCACATGGAGCTGTCGAGGAAGGAGTTCGACGACCAGCCTATCAGTGGCTCTGTAGCTAATCTTGGACCAGCAGTCAGCACTGTTCCGTCGCAGAGAGCCAGCCCGAACATATGTCACCAGTATCCAGCTCTCAGCGAAGCGAAACTGGACACGAAGACTGTCCTGACCGTGGTGACTGACTTCGGTGACACGAACCTGAACAAACCGAACGATCAGGTCGATCACATTATACACAGCCATCGCAAGAGTTACAATATCTCGAGTAATTTGTTGACTCACAGCAAGAGCCAAACGGATAATCTTCAAAGCCAGCTCGACTCCCAGAACGAGAAGCCTGACTCCCTCCAGGCCCAGCAGCAGCAGTTACAGAATCAACGGAATCTCGATTTGATTTCCGAGAAGCTCAGCCAATTCGAGCGCCAACAGAGCGATCTCCAAGCGAAGCTTCAGTGTCTTCAGAACCAGAATCAAATTCTGGACAAGGTTGCTCAGTTCCAGCATCAGCAGAGCGACTACCAGGCGCGTTTGCAAAGCCTCCAGGCGCAGAATCAGCTTTGCGATAAGCTGCAAAGATCCGCGGATTTTCAACAGTATGCGATCGGTAACGAGATCCATCAGGTCCAATCGAACTCACTGCCCAACCACCAGGAACAGCCCGATAAGAGCTGCGCGTCACAGAGCCAGCATCCCTCGCACAGTCATCATCAAACGTTATTGACTGCCTCCTATTCACAGAACTCTAATCATCAATCCTGCCAATCGTCTGTCCGCGAGAAGCTGTCGCCGAGGCTTCAGCACGATACCGGCGACCCAAATTCTATACAGATACCGAGCATGTCGCAGATGCCGTTGCCGTGTCTGCCGCAATTCGAGCGCTCCGACACGTCGCGTGTTTCGTTCACGCAGTTCCATCGGCTTCAATGTCAGATCGACGGCCACGAGGGCGCCGCTGCGTCGCCAGGCGGCGCTACCGCGACTTTCACGGGAACCCTGAAGAAGGTGCCGCCGGAAAAGCCCCCGAGAACGTCCCTGATCATTCAGTCGCCTGAGTCGGAGGTAAGGATACTCGAGAGATCAGCGAGTTCTGTTGATTTTTGCATGATGCCGTAGTATGTGGTAGCTCGACCTCCTTAGTTCTTGAAAGACGGAGTGGAATTAATTTTTTGTTAATTTTGTTGAGGATACGATGAGAATATACGGGTTTCATACGATAAAGGAACGAAATTAACTTTCACGATAACTTCAATTTTGTCTAGAATGATGCATGTGTCGCTTTCGAGATTTGGAATGAATAAAGTATTTAATGACGTAAGAAGGGAAATAAAGGGTCTTTGGAAACTTGTTTTTTAATGGAAAATTTATTTTGAAAATTTTTATATTAAATTTATATTTAAATTTTAATGGGATGTATCCGATGTTTTTATTTTAAATGAAAGCACACGCCATTGTAATTAAAAGCAAAATTTCATATGTATCTTTCGTTTAAAATGTGATCACGGTGTGCGCCATATTTTGTGTTTCTTTGTAACTAAATATATTATTACGGTTTGTAAAATTCTAGATGGTGATGAATTTAAAGGCAATTTAAACATAGCATTCAAATTTAGATATTTCTGAAACAAATTGGACACTCATTGGTTCGTGCAACGTAACTTTTTCCAGTCCAGTGAAAAAATTCCAGCAAAAAGAGCGAGATCCATTAACTCGCATCGAATAAACTTCGACTAGAGGTTACAACGAGCGATTTTATCCCTTGAAATAACGAACCTTTTGTTTCGCAGATCCCACGAATCTTGTTTTATCTCGAACCCAGCGCGGAACAAAAGAGAGCTAATGATTGCAAAATAGAATACGAGACCCCGTAATAGGAAACACTCGAACGGTCAAAGTATACTCGCTGGTTATCCGATAATTCTTTGTAGAATTATGATCCACGGACCTTGGACGAGTGATGCACGAGAGAGTGGGTCCTTTCACGTTTCTCTGGCTATAGAGACGCTAGAGCGGGCAAAGAGCGCAAGAGACGAATGATGGGTAGCCGAAGAACCCCGGATAGAGATCTCCGCTTGCAGTTTTTGTCGTCGGATCGGAGTGGAATGAACTCGTTATATATCAGGTTCGATGTTGTCTTTGAAAACTTCGTTACTAGTCCCCGTGTACCTTCGGCTCTATTTTCTCGCTCTGTCCCTCAATCTAGATTTCAGACAATTTCGTTCGTGCTGTAAAACTAAATATCCCGCTGACGGCGAAGTTACACGTTCGAACGTCACGTGTCTCGAATCGCGACTCCACGATTTCGTGACTGCGGGATAGGTTCGCTTCCTTGGAATATCGTATCACGAGGGTATTCTTCTTCCTACTATCGAGAACGTATCCTTTGTACGTTCCTCGAATGGATTTTGTTTGCTTGTGCCATAGGACAGTCTTAAAAGTATATCATTTTTATCTTTCGTGTATACGTTTCTTGCATTCTTCGAATTTTGTCGTGAGTACAAAATATTGATTGTTGGTTCGTCTGTCGATTTAGGCTGCAACTCGTAACTTATTTCAGAAGAATGGTTCTTTATTTCATTTTAATTCAGTCTGAAGAAATGTAACGTGAAACGGAAAGATACCTTTGCAAAATTGCTCCCCAAAAATCACTTCAACTCAACCTAAAAGAAAATCTCAGTGACCTCAATTTAGTACATCGATGTGTTACGACCGCTATATTTTATATTTCTCTTTGTATGTCCTCCGAACAGCAAGAAACATTTTGTCGAGTCCTCGACTGTGGTCAACAGAAAATATTTTCAGACACCCGCGTCGACTTTCCAGCGATGGCGATATTATTTTAACTATCGACGACGCTTTCCCCGGAGAACAGACGTTTCCAATCTCTTCCGATATTTTGCATAAAAGACGGCAACGCGCATAGCCGTGCAGGAAGGCAAATAACCGTCCCTCCGCGAATACGTAGCTGCCAAACCTCCGCTGGCGTCGTTCTGGCGAAATTGGGTTAGCGCTGCGAGTCGCGCGCGTATGAAAAGCTCCCGGAGTTTACTTTCTCAGAAGAGCAAATATACCTCCGTCGCAACGCGGTGGACAATGGAGGAGTAAAGAGAATTCGCATTTCCGACCACTGTGCGTTATCCAACCCGCCTGACGAGGAGGATCCTCCTGGAGACCTTGTGACGGGATTCGGTAACGTCACGCTTTTCTTTCCCTTCGTGGCAACGATGATACGAGCAAACAAAAACGCTACACGAAGCGCATGAAGGATTTAATGACGCAAAAAGGAATACAAAGGGGCTTTAGAAGCTTGTTTTTTAGTGAAACACAGATTGGAATGTATCCGATGTTTTTATTTTAAATGAAAGCACACGAGATTCTAATTCAAAGCGAAATTGTAATCGTGAGTATTTTCGTTTAAAATGTGATTTGAAATGTGATCTTGTGGCTCGGGTTACGCCATTTTTTGTGTTTCTTTTCAATTAACTGAATTTTTATGGTTTGTAAGATTGTATATGGTGAGGAATGTTTAAAGGACTCGTGTGTTCTGTGAGAATTACTGTGGGAAATTTTTGATAAAAGAGAATATTACACCTCTAAACGAATTTTAGTTTTCTATTTGCTAAAAAGGATATTCTATTTTTAATCTAGTCATAAGGTGCAATGTATTAGCCCTCTCCCAGGGTATATGTGTAGAGGAAAGTGCTGTGCCCCTGAATATTATTTATTTTTTTATTTTTTTAATAGGGTGTCCATAATGTCCATCCCTCCTCCATTTTCAATTGAAACATTCACGAGAATATACGTGTATATAGTTAAAAGAAATGAATACCTGTTTAAGAATATCCTTACTACGCGTACAATGAATTACTACAAGTAGATTGATCATCCGCGGAAATCCTTTTCCTTATCTTAAACATCGCCATAAGCCACAGCGAAGAAGATTATTCCTATTTAATCTTCTCCGCTCTCTACATAATCACTCACCATTACTCAGACCGACTAAAGCGCAATCCAGTTCCCATAACTCACTCATTTCAAGCTTAAAATTATTCCCGTCCGTCTAGATGGCGTAAATTTATGTTCACGGGACAAGAGTGATTTGCTAGTCAAAGGAAGCACCCGGCACAATAGTCGTCAAAGGTGTAAAGTTTTCAGGTTGCTAAGAGAAAAGATTTTCCCTTCCTGGGTAATTTGTCGCGACCCTTTGTAACCGCGCCGAAAATACGAGGGTTAGGGGAATTCCCCCGTCTTTGGCCAGGCACCGTTGGTTCGTTTACTCGCTGAGGGATTCTTGCTAGGCCAAGTGTCTAGCCAAGCAAGCGCGTTCCATTCTAATGTAATTAATGTCTCGTTCTTCCAACACTCGCGAGCGTGCTTGGCAATGGCGAAACAGGTAGTCCTGGTGACACAATTTCGCGATATTAATGGACCATGCCTCGCAGACCATGTGTCGAGTTTACGGAAATAATCGTTCGGTTCAATTTCTGGTCCCAGAAGTGACCCGTTCGAACTGACAAACTCAGGGTGATCGGAAATCCATGCTAAAGAAAGAGACATGCATTATTTTTGACGTTTGGTACGAGTGTAATTGTATTAGATTCCTTCCCACAACTAAATAAATCCTATGCTTTCAATAATTATGTTCTGACTGGCTACCTCTTATCTTCATATGTAAATACTTCAATCATAAAATGATGTTTCCTTAGTCAAAGAAAAATAATCAAACCCAGACAATTACCAGCAATTAGCAAGTGATCATAGTCCATAGATGGTATATTCCATCGATCATTAACCCTAAAACCTATTCAATAGTACGAGTACTCTAAGTAGCGGAAGCTGCCTAACTCAGCCTAAGTGATTCAGCCAGGCTAAGCAACCACTCGACGAATTGGACTTTTCAAGAGGTTTATCGTAACAGGGGAACAATTTCACAGACATCGCGTCCCAGGCGTGCCCCTTTAAGGAACCTCTGACCCCGATGATGTATATTTTCGATACGAGGCCAAATCGAAATGGATTCCGCAAGAGCGAATCGCTGAAAGGCATCGAAACGTGTCGCAGCTATTGACTTATTTGGCTAGTGTCGCCTCTGTTCGGCCATTTCTTCTCCTTGGAGCTCGGCCCGCGCGTATTTCCAGCTTTTCGGGGTAGAAAACGAATAAAACGCCGTGGTCGCCGTGAATGCATCCATTTCTCGATCGTATCTGCTCTGGGTCGATGCTTTGAAAGCGTCAACAGAAAGGGGACGGGGGACCGTGCGATGCTGCGCTATTCAAAAGTCGCTTCCTCCATTTATACGGATTCGTTTTAATCATTGACGTAGATAGCTGTTTCCTCTGTTGGAGACACTGAGGGTCATCAGGAAGCCGACGTTGAAATGCGTGGATTTTTATCAAATTCAAGGCGCAAAACATAGAGGCAAGATGCCCATCAGGTGATTGAGCGACGAAAAATTGATTCAGGAATTGTTCATGTTAGAATTGAAGCCAATTTGTACTTTCCATTATTAACCTTATTATTTCATGGTCGGCACTGGCTGTCTTTGCTTTGTTTTGTTTTCTGAACTGATGTAAGGAGAAACGTTAGGTTGAACGAGTGTGTTTACTAGCTGGCACGTGGGCTGTAGATTCGATCTATATATTATAATTAAATCAATTTATAATCCAGGACTGCCCAAAAATTATCAGTTATGAGTGAAGAATGGTTCTGTTTAGAAAATTTAATATTCAGAAATGTATAATCTATCACGTGTTTAAGATTATTTAAATGTCAATTACGTGGAAAGCTTAGTCTCATGAATAATAGCTTGAAAATCTGACTTGCAATAAGGTTCCTTCAGAACGTAGTATTTCCTGGCATTAAAATTGAAATAACATCGAATCACGTCTGAGTTCAGACGTATCTCTCGCAATCGACAGCCCTCATTCACAGCCCATGAATGCTTACTAATCGATCTGTGCCAGATACTGCGATGCTATCGAATCTAGGAGTTAAACGGAAGCATTCATCGATTTATCAATATTCAGAAACTGTTTCGTTCGAGAATTTGAAATCTCGATGAC